GATTTCTAAATTAGCATTATTTAAGCAAAATGTGTATTTTCTATATTACACTATGTGACGTTATATGACGTCATATGACTGTAACATGTAATATAAAATTCTATATTACATGTAATTTACATCACTAAGTGTGACCACCTTTAGGTTTAAAAATAGAGAACATTTGACTAAAATTCTGCTAAAATAGAGAACAAATAGAGAACACATATTTTATATTAATTTTTCGTCTTAATTAAAAAATTGAGGTTATTTATTAACAATTTTGTAATAAAATTTATTGTATTAGGTGTGTACAAATGGCAATTGTTAATCAAAAAAGTGTTAAATTTTTCAAAAAGTTTATTATTGTATAGATTAATAAATATTTAATAAATTTAGCAACATTTTTATCATTTATTACAAAATCAAAAATGAGAACAGTTCTCTATTTTGTTCAAATGCAGGTCCAAATAGAGAACTGTTCTCTGAAATAGAGCACAGGTGGTCACGCTATGTATAACATATGCATAATAGTACTATCACCATTTGGGCAACCGTCTGGAGACGTTTTGGAAACTTTTTTCATAGTTTTGAACACAATAATGACTATTACAACTGTTTGTTGATTTTAAAGCATTAGTTGTGCTATGATTCTCTGACTAATTCATGGTTTTTGTAGAGCCTGCATATTATATGACTCATTTTTTGGTTTCCCTAATCACCATATACATATTATTTTTGACAGTAATTTTCACAATCATATTTATAAATTATATTGTGTTGTTAAATTTTATATGAAATTTTGCATTTTATTTGCAAATACTAGTTATACTAATTCTACAGTATAAATTTATAATGTTATGCTAAATTAAAGTGTTTATTTTTTGTATTACATAAATGCAATTATTTCGCACTAAATGCTGTACTTAAATGTATTTATTTACTTATTGCTGGAATTGATATATGATTTCCAAGAATTAATACTTTGAGCGATAGTTTTATTACAGATTTCCGCTTTAGGTTTCCTATGAAATAACATAATTTCTCAACATTTTAACAATTGTTTAGATGTCATTCAAACTTTACATTCATTACATCTACAATAAGTACGCGCGTGAGTGGCCGGTCGAGACACACGGAAAGGTCCGGTAAGTCCCGGGAAGCGCAGGTAAGCGTAAGTCTGTCCCCAGACTTATGGTTATTATCTAGATTTAGCGCGCGTTGTATTGATATTTATAAAAGATAGCGTATTCAACGCATAGATATTTGTCACATATAAAGTAAAACTTTAATGCTGAACTTCAGGTGCAACTTACATTAGTTATTACACTAGTCAATTTATATTACTCGTCATCATAAAATAAATACATCTGTTACAGCAAAAATACCACTTCTCTACAATTAATTTATATAAAATACTGATAAGATTTACATTAATCAGTTTTCTTACATTTAAAACCCACTATATAAAGGTAACTTACTATTTAATGCTAATTAAATTTACAAAATAACTAAGTTTATTAATTACTATTTTTAATGGAGAGTAGTGTTTCAGCTGAGGATCGGCTAAATGTGTGGCAATTATGCAAAACATATTTAGGCGGCGAATGGAGTGATGTTTGCGCCGACGATCTGGTTATCAAACCCGCGATGTAAGTGACGTAATAATTGTTTAACAACAATAATTAACAAAAAATGTTTAATTTGATCAGGGGCGGATTTGTAAACAAAATATTATTCTGTTTTCTCCCCGACTCGATTGACCATGAACAAGTGAAATACCCCAAAGTTGTGGTCAAATATTTCGATGTCGATTGTTTCGAGAGGTGTGGCATAAATCTAACCCATTTATTAGCAGTTAATGTAATTTTATCCGAGAATAATATAGCGCCCAAAATGTTGGCCGTCTTTGAAAAGGGAAATATTTGTGAATATATTGATGTATGAAATTATAAATTATTATAAAATTCTGACATATTTTTAATTATTAAATTGCATTCTTATATAAATAGTCTCACTATTTCAACGCCGGCGATGACCTCAACCCTACGGCAGTGTCAGTGTTGGCACAAAAAGTGGCAAAATTGCATTCACTAGATATGCCGATACCTAAAGACAGCGCCGACTGGCATATGAAAATAATTATGGACATTAGGTTCCCAGAGAGCGATCGAGAGTCTTATAGAAACGGGTCGGTTCGTCAGGAGATCCAGAAGAATAAGAATGATTACAAGACACTGATATCATTGAACTTATTGGATGAGTTGGATTGGCTCAGACGTATGTGCGAACACATTGACAGTCCTGTAGTCTTCTCTCACTGTGACCTCAATCGACGCAATACTTTGGTCCGGGAGGGAGGGGTTGGCCCGGGTTTGGACGACGTATACATTATTGACTGGGACTGGTGTTGCTATACCTATAGGGGCGCAGACTTTGGCGATTATTTTATGAATTGGTGCCAAACAGAGCTGGACTTCGGTGGCGAACCCTTTCCTACCGATGACCAGATGCTGGTCTTCATCGACGCCTATATCCGGGAAATGACAGCAATTAATGGCAACTCTTTTACAAAATTGGAGATCAATTCACGTCAAAGGCTTATAAAGGAGGCGAAAGTGTTTACTTTATTGGGTTATATAAAGGAAGTTTGTTATTGTCTTAAACAGTACGGTAGACATGGAAAGTTAGAAATGATGGTAATTATAATTAAATACTAATAAGTTTGTATTTGTAATCTAATAAATATTATATTTTTACAATAGCCTAAAGGAGAACAAAGACTTAAAGTTTACGCAATACTAAAGGATCGTATATTAGACGAATATCCGGAACTTCAATAAATGACCATGTGTATTTGAAAATTAATTAATTCTGATTGATAAAATAAAGTTTAATATAATAAAAATTAAAAATAATAATCATTTATTGATATTACAATCGCATATAAACTAATGTTACAAATTTTATATTGATTATTTGAGAGCTGGTAAACAGCCAGCAACATTTTCAGGACCGGGAATACTAGCTATAGGTGGACCGGGAATGCTGGCTACAGGGGGTGCGGAACTAAACCAGGGCACCAAAAATGAACCAATATTAAATTGAAATCGTCGGTCACTGTTATCATTAATAGTGTAATAAGTCTTATGAGTGACACTACCCTCTGGGCTCGAGTCACGACTGGATCTTCTATTTAACTCGCGCGTTAGTTCATTAATTTGGCCCTGTTGCTTTTGCAGTATTTCCAACATGGCCTCACCAGTGGTCGCCATTTGTAGCGCTACGGTATCTTCGGTTGATTTGGCCACTTTGTGCACGGCTTCAATTTGTTTCAAGATGGCCACAGTATTGCTTTGAACATGGTCATCAACGAAGTCACGTTTAGCCGGGTCTTCGCACAATACGTATATAAACTCGTCCGATTGACTCTGGGGCTGGTCTCGGGTAGTGGAGTCCCGTCAGGGCTCGGGCTCAGACTCGGGCTACAACTAGTTTGTGAGCCTTGCGATAGCTTTAGTACGGATTCGTGACACGAGTCGGAGCTAGTGTTTTGCTTTTGAAAGCTGAGTAATTCATGAACTGTCCTGGTTAATTCATCAATTTGTGTTTGTTGTTTGCTGAGTTTTTGATTCACCTCGTCCATATTTGAGCAATTACATGATTTTGATTCAATATCGCAATCACGGGTGTCCATTTTTGACATTTTTACTAATATAAAATTGTAACTTTATTGTTCAGAAGTCAAAATACATTATTAATTATAAGTATAATAATAAATAGTTTTATTAACAAAATATATGAAACACTTACCACTAATTGTTTTATTATTGTCTTGATTTAGCTGACAATTGTCACGTAATAGGATTAATGTCAATCTGTATTTAATTGTTTGGTAATTAATATTAATAACAAAATTATAATATTAAATTTATTATAATTTATGGATATGTGTAATAAATAGACATTTAAATGTTGAGAAATTGATGGAATGTTATACAAATAAGTTTGTTTTTTAAAATATTATATTTTTATGTTGCATTAAATTTATGTAATTAAAATTATATTATATAAGATAGTATCTATCGTATAACTATGGTAACTATTCAAGATTGGTGAAATTATGAATATTATTTGTGTGGATGAATAGCAAACAGAAAGCGGCAAACATTTACAAGTCGTGAGAGGAAAAAAGTTGAGGAATGGGTGAGAAAAACATAGAGTCAGCAAATGATGAGACTATGAGTGGGTCGACACCCGTATGGGTTGGTATCATCAAATGGTTTCTCGTCGTAATCAACTGTATGTGGATATTTGCCGACAGTATCGGCATAATTATGGGCGCAAAAGTGGTCCATAGGCCCGAAGCCCTGCCAGACAGTGACACTAAGATCCGCGCACTCGCCACCATTGAGCTGATCATCTGTTTGATCGGTTTAATCGGTTTGATTGGACACAAGTTTTTTATCATTGTTTTTCATTTGATCGCAATTGGCCTCTATTTGATAATACTGTTTGCGTTGAACCAATGTTGCAAATTTGACGACCAAATGTTCTGGGTCGAATCCGTTTGGATTATGGTCACAGCCTTCTACGCCTATCAGATTAGGATCAGAAGCAATCGCCCGGTGTTTGACACCACCACCACTTCATAAGGATTACCACATTTCAACAAATCTATTGATATCTTGTTTTATGATAAACTAACATATTTTATATTTTATTTTATTTTACAATATCTATAATGTTTTCTCTATTCTCTTGTTTAATATAAATATTTATCTATTCTGTCGATTCTGTAAAGAATAGGTTTTCAAAGTGATGTCACATTGTTTTTCACTATTTATATTATAATCTCATGATGTTTTCTGTTTGGATTGAGATCTCGTATACAATAATATAAACTTATGTTCGAATATTGCATTTTAATAAATCTAAATATAAATGCAGATAATATGGTATAACAAATATTCATTTGTATTAAAGATATTTTGATTTAAATAATATTGTACTTTGAGATTAATAAAATAATTTTATTTCCAAGTTTGATTGAAATAGCAATTATGCGATATGCTATTTAATGAATTATTTCATTTAAATTTTAAATAAATGATGCTGATTATTTTAACCAACAAATATTTAGATTAGTTTTAAATGTCTACTTGATTTGTTTAATGAAAAGGCTTTATTGTAGATTATCAAATCAGCAATGTGTAATGTTTTTCAAATATGATTTTTATATTTAATTTTTATTAAATGATTAGCAAATAAATAATAAACATATTTTTTCTGTATAAATAATTTTACCTTAAAAATGCATAAAATAACGAGATAATTATTTTTATAATTAAATACATTTAAAAACTTAAAAACATTTTAATTAGTTATTAAAATATAAAACTTTAATTCAATTAAAACAGTATTATAAACATAAGAATAGGTATTTATAGCAAGACGCTCATGATTGTATCAATATCTAAAATATACTAAATTTTTTGCTGTGGTTATTATGTGTGACACTATAATCGTTATAAGTATTGTAAGTATTATTAATGATTTGTTGGGGGCGGTCCCGGAGCTCGCGTCTTAAAGCAACAATTCTACCCTGGTTAGTTTGTATTAACTGTGCTAAGGCTCGCGCATTATTAGCTTGTTGCACAGCTACCACGTTGTCCTGTCGGGCCCGTTGAACAATGTCCTTTACTTGTCCCAAAATGGCCACATTTTCGCATTGAACATGCTCAATTTGTCGACCTTGTTGCTGGGCTAAGGCTAAGTTAAGTCCAGTTCGTACGTCTACTTCACCAATGTATTGCAACATGGCAGAGTTCTCCTCCTTAACATGGTCTATTTGGCGCTCGTGTTGCCCGGCTAGTGCTGAGTTGAGTTCGGTTTGTTTGTGTATGGTAAGTAAATTCTTCATCATGGTATAATTCTCGCGCTTACTTCGGTCTATTCGCATATTCAGTTTATTAATCTCGTAGCCAATCTTCCGCAACACTCTCTCGTGTGACTGCATCTGGGAGTCGACACTCGCAGCCACTGAGTTGTAGCTCGTACTTGGAATAACCGCGTGGTCACCAACACCGTGGTCACTGGTCACGCTCTTACTAGATTTAGAACTAGTAGCCAAACCACCTAGCTCACTTTCAGCAATGCTTTGTAGGCTAGAATTTTGGCTCATCTTTAAAAGCCTAAATATTTCTTGACTTGCCATGGTCAATTGGACAATTTGTCCCTGTTGGTCGCGTATTGTTTTCTCCAACTCGTCCACTCTTGAACCGCACGAGCACGAACAAGAACATGAGCATGGCACATTTTGATCGGTAGTTTTAGTGGCATTTGTTTCACTAGTTTTATCATTATTTTGCATTAATTTCTGATCGTTTAGTGACAACAGATAATTGTTGTGAATACTCGCCGAGCGTTTGGAGATTGAACTCATTTGTATTGACTTTACTTTGAATATTATGACAAGTGGTCACTCTATATAATTATGGTTTCAATTATTAATTACTCTAACAAATGGCAATATATTTTAACAGAAATATCATAACTGTTAAATATTTCAATTAATATTTACTTGATTTTTGCAAAACAAAATTAATGTTCAATTATTTATAATAATCACAGCACAGACTGATAGTAACACTGATTACACTTCTTTAAAATATATATCAAACATAAATGTTATGTTAATCTTATGTTACATAAAAGTTGGTTATGAAATGCAAAAATAACAAATTTTATCACAACTGTTATGGTATTAATAAATAACTTTTGTGTTATTATTGCAAACTAATAACAAATAATAATGATCAAACTGCTTTATTATTTAAACTAGATAATTCTACAGTAGTCATAATAACTACCATTCACTTTCAGTTTCAAACGTACTTTGATATTTGCAAATCAATTATTCAAAATAAAATTGATACGTAAACAGGAAAATAAAAAATAACTTTTTATTACCAGATAAAAGTAATCACTGAATTATGATTATTTTTCAATACAGCGCTATATTTTATAGTCATTTATATTAATTTATATTTATTATACAAAATATTTAAATGGTTTAATACAATAGTTTTGTAATAATAAAATAGTAATATTTTTATTTAATAAGACAAAGCATAAAAATAAAACAATTGCTTATAGTTAATTTTATGACAGAACCTGTTTATTTATTATAAAACCATGGTTCTTTGATAATTTGGTGAAATTCAGAGACATAATAGTAAGTGATAGCGTTATATAAGATGTATACTTATATTAATTGCGATAAATATAGATAATAAAAGTAAAATAACATGATAAAGTATTTTATTACCGGTAGTAGAAAATATATTCATTGAGATTAATGTTGGATATTTGGAAATAATCATAAATTACACACTCACTCATGTCGGTAAACCTTTTACACTCAAAATCACTGCCCGTGGGTGTGATTCACAGGTAATCATATGACATGATTGCCAACACTAATTGGGGAACAATTACTTGGGAGGCGGTGGGGGTAGAGACGGGCGATTGGGTGCGGGTAGAGATGGCTGAGTGGGTCGGGAACCAAAACCGAGCGCCGGAAGTAGGCCCCCGAGACCCCCACCGCCAAATCCAAGACTTAAATTAAAGCTCTCGTCATTATATGTCTGGCTATAATCATAATACATGTTATAAGTATTATGAATAACAGTGGGCTCGGAGTCGGAGCGTCTAATGCGGTCCTGTTTTAGCTCATTAATTTCATCATCGTGCTTTTTCAGCATTTCCAATATGGCTTTGCCTGTGGCCGCCATTTCCGCCATCACTGGATCGTTAGCCGGTTTGACCGCGTTGTTCATGGATCTAATCTCGTTCAAAATGGCCGCATTCTCGCTCTGCATGCGGTCCATACGGTCGTCCCTTTTACCGAGTTCTTCGGCCAACACTCGCCTAATCTCATCCGTATTACTCCGGCGACTGGTGTGAGACCTATGGCGCCGAACTGGGCTCGGGCTGGGGCTAGAGCTAGAACTCGAGCTCGAACTAGCACTCGCTCGTGAAATATGTGCTCGCGATCGGCCACGTTCATCTCTTGAGTTGGTACTACTATTTTGATTTTGAAAGCTAACTTTTTCAAATGCTCTTGATAGTTTGTCAATCTTCGCCTTCTGTTTGCGTAGTTTTTGGTTCATCCGCTCCCATTCAGCTCCAGTATTTGAGCTTGGTTCGTTATAACTATCACGGTGGTGTTGCATCTCTGCCCGTATTGTATTAATTATTAATTATCGATATAAACATGAATGATTTATTAATATTTTCAAAATGGCAAAATACTTACCTCTGTTTGGTTTAGTGTTTATAGAAGAATATATTTGTTGAATTGTTTAACTGTATAGTTACTAATATTATTAAATATATAACTGATAACTATTATATAATAGTCGACGACTGCGTACAGAGCTTGGTAAAATTTGCTATTTCTATGCCATATATGATAACACATTACAGTTGTGTTATTATAATTATTGTATAAACAAATGATAAATCTATTTCATTTAATTATATATCATCTTATACAACAATTATGTATAACAAAAATTATTTTTATTTTTAAATGAATTAGAATAATATTATAATTTATGGCTAAAACAAATCATACATTTATGCAGACATTGATATCTAGGAAACAAAATATAGAGTCAATTATTGGTATTTATATTTATAACAATAAATGACTGAAAACTAATGCAAATCAATTTAAAAAGTAAAATAATACTAACTTTATAATGATATGATAATAGAGCCTTATTTTGAATTATCAAAATAACAATTTATATAATTTTTACTTAACAAATTCTGTTAGTAATTATGGATTAAATCAGAAAAGTTGCTTGATAAATCTTCAAAATATATCAACAAAAATTATGTCAAAATTACAATATACTGTAATTATTTACCGCAAATAAAAACAAGTTAAAATTATATCAAAGAATCTTGATAATATTAACACCTACATTAAAGACCTACATTAATTTATTAGTTGAGTCACCATGATCATCAAACACCCCGACCGGATCATAAACCAATTTGAGGTTATCCACTTTGTTCTTGCTCAATCTCGCTAACTAGTGATTTAACGATTGAGCCATTACTGGTGCTTTGATCATGTTCATCAAACACTCGAGCGAGATCGGAAACACACTTGGTAAATGCAGCTTGTTGTTTCAGTTCAAACCCATTCACTCTTGATTTAGCCATTGAGCTTGGTATATTAATTTTGCCCTGAGAAGTTTCATTATTACCACCATCAAATATACGAACTAGATTGGAAACCGAGTTGTTTATAGCGTTACTTTGTTTATGGCGTTGAGTTAGTTTTCTCTCAATCTGATTTACTTTAGATTTCACTTTTGACCTTGGTCCATTATAGTTTCTTTGAGCAAATTGATCTTCTTTATTTTGAATCAATATTTCATTATTATCAATATTTTCCATTTGTTTTACACTCGAGTCCATTTTGATCACACTGAATATTGTAATTAATTAAATATTTCCCTTTTTATACAGATTTTATAATAGTTAAAATTATATATAAATTTTGGTTGAATTTATTTTATTATACAGTATATCAAAATCAGCATTTTGCATTTACAGATAAGACGAACAACAAGTGTTACTATTATAAAATAGTATCAAACCTAATTAAAATTAATTAACTTAACTTTACTGTTGATTATCGCATACTGTAGATTACAAATTAGTTACAAGTAAGTTAAAATAAATTAAAAAGTATTATGATTCAATCGTAAATTTATAAATGTAGTATTTTATTTTTTTAAATAAAAATATTATTTAATTTTAATGTGAGTTTTTTATATGTATTACAAAACATTGAGAATAAATAAGTAAAATCTTATTTAAAAAATTGAGTGTTATAAAAGTTTCACAAATTTAAAAATATTTTACAAAAATTATTAATTAAAATACAAATAATCTAACAATTATTAAACATTCATTTAATATGACTTAGGAAAACTAAGCCATTTATAATTAAATGAATCAAAATAATTACAAAAATTGTATCAAGGTAGAAGACTGGCGCATCTACTCGTACCACAAACTGCACTCATAGGACCGCCACTAAAGCCAATTCCGGGAAACGGCAACGATAACCCAATCGGGCCTAATTGTACGTTCAAACTATTGTCCTCGTGGTGATTGTTGGTCACCCTATTGTCATTATAAGTATTATACGTGTTATTAGTTACTCGGGCGGGACTAGAGCTGCGGCTACGCCTTTTCAAACGGCGGTCGAGTTTGCTAACTGCCCGGCATAAGCCATCAATTTGATCATCATGTTTTCGCAACAACTCAATAACAGCCTGTCCGTTTTTGGCCTGTTGCCAGGCATCAATCGAGTTGGTATCAATCCGACTGTTTAGGGCCTGTAATTGTGTCAGTATAGCCGCCATTTCTCTTTGAACATGGTACATTTTGGCGTCCCGTTCGCACAGTTCGTGTCGCACCCGATATAGTATATCGTCCGACAGTTTCTGGCGCTCGACCTGAGCGTCCCGCTCGAGACGGCCGCCCACGCGGTCTAACACACGGGCTATGTCTGACCGCTTGATGGCGCCCAACCACAGGCCGCCAAATACGCCGACACACGTCCACACAATGCCCAACATGTTTATGACAATCACAGCCCCTGTGAACCATAGCCCGTATTGAATGGTGTGATTTATACCTAACCCATGTGTGGTTTAATTATAAATTTTTAGCAGTTTGTTTAGATTTACCTTAACTTAATTTAATATAAACTTTTTATATATTCTTACCCAGCTTCTCTGGTCCCAGGTGCCTAGACGTGTGAGTGCTAGTCTGGTTCATTATGATAAAATTATTTGATTTATTACCAGGTTGCGCCAGTTTAGCCCATCGAGATGAATCTCAGATGATTATAATTAAAAGTAAATTTATACCATATTTACTGTTTATGTTTTTTTTAAATAAAAGTGCATTTTAAACATGCGCATAATATCATTACTTTCACACAAATAAAGTTAATTAATTAAATATTTACTTTTTATATTGATTCTAATAAATTATTATTACTAATAATGTAATATAGCAAGTTGATTGTTATAAAGTTAAAAATCATTTGTAAATACTGTCAGGAATTATATTATTACATTTAACCAAAATTTAACATTTAATTATTAAAGTGTATAAATAGCTATATATTTTCTTATAAATCAAATGCAAAATTACGGCATCAAAATTATAAGGATTTTATAAATATTTAATTATAAAAATAAGTTTGAAAACTACATGAAGTGTAATTAAAGTACAATTAATTAAATTTGATAAAAATAACTTCAAATTATATAAATCAATAGCAGTAGTAAGAAAATACATACTCCAGACAAGGCCCTTCGGTCCTTGTCTGGAGTATGTATTTTTATTTTTAGATTTTCATAAATTAGTGTTAGTACAACTCTG